ATTTCTTTAACAGGTGGGTACTGTGGAGTATATAGTCATCTATTTCCCCCACAATTCCATTTTATTTAGTCCCTTCCCATGCTCCCTACCCCTCCCACACTTTGATTGCACTCCTTGTAATGGGTTTTGTATGTAAAGTTTCTAATTAGCTACATAGTGATTTGTTTGTGGTTAAAAAACCAAACTGGATTTGGTGGTGGGAAAGTTAAGTGTGCAAGAGCACTTCTGGATATAGAAGGAAAAAAAGGTGACCAACTCACTTTCATAGTTAGCACCTCCTGGTTCAGTGGTTAACTTTGAATCTTTTTCTGTTCCTCTGGAAAAGGTGTTTGCAGTTTGGCCAGTGGGAAATGTATGCTAAAGAATAGAACAACATTATTAATATGCATAAAAAAGGTTCAAGACTTCTTCAGGAAGAGAAAGACTCACTTAGCAAAGTTAATTAATTTTGTTATACTAATATTTTGTTCACATTCTGGAAGCCAAGTTATTGCTGTCATTAAGGACAGCATCTAGGTGTGAAAAAGTTATCACAAAAAATGTTCGCACAGAAACCAAAAAAATATGTATGATGAAGGGCTTTATGCAAGAACAGGAAACAAACTGCTTGCAACAGTTATGATCAACAATTAAATAGGTTAAGTACAAATGCAGGAAGCCACAATGATTCCAACATAAAAAAGGAACGCATTTCCTTCATCTCCTTCTGCATATCAAATTTTCTATGAGTCATTCTGACCTCAAGAACATCATGATACTTTGCATTTGACATTTGTCATTGTAACTGTGTAATATCTGCAGATTTAAGTGTACTGTCATAGGAATTGCATCCAGCTTCTTGTTACTTTCCAATTCAGACAAAATGATGCTAGGGTGTGCCAAAATTGGATTTTGGATTTTTGCATTTGAAGAAGTGCAAAAATCTTTTACCAAAATTATGCAAGTATACTATTAATGCAATACAAAAGAAACAGTTAAGGAAGCAGGAAAGAGATATGGGGGGGAAAGAAAGGCCTGAATGGACAATTGAGCAAAGACAACTACAGAATGGAGTAAAGCAAGAATTAAACCATTTGAGAAGTAGGACTTGTTAGTTCCATTGACAAAAACTAAGGACATAAGGGTATTAGACTACAGAAAAAAGTCTAGCATTTGACCAGAGTCTATTTCTGGAGAAAAAAAAAGGGAGAAGAATGGAAATTGAGCACTTCACTAACTTTGAAATGGTGGCTAGAACCAAGTTACTGGGGAAGATTTATAAAGTGCAAACTTTTTACCTCAGGTGTATTCTCAGTTTTATAGCTGGTCTGTCTGTGGATGGAAGTCTTTACAAGATCTGCAGCAAGCTTGGAAATATCATCCTTTTCCACACAAATGGTTTTAGTATCTGCAATCCAGACAGGCAAAGTCTTAGATGAAAGAATAAAGAAACTACACTAGGTAATTTATTTAATATAAACTGTAAGAGATTGCTGTGTGGAACATAGTGTTTTGCTTAGAGAATCTGAAGCCAAGCCATTAGAGCAAGGAACAAGATTCACCAGATATCTGCAGAAATACTGATTTTTGGGGGAAAAAAGCTTTCATTTAGTGCTAAAGAATTTCCACATGAGAAAGAAATGCCATGATGATCCCTATACTTTAAAAAAGTCTTGTAATCTGAGTCTAGGTGCAAGAATCAAATGGACTTTCCAAAGAAGGAACAAATTACAACATCTTTATGGAATAAAGATTATGCAGCATGGACAAGAAAATTAAAGAAATTTTAGTGCATAGTTACTGCAATTTAAGTTACAAGCATGTGATAGGAGAGGATGAATATAATCATTAGATTTCTAAAGTATGTACAAAGACTTAAGTGACTGAGTTATCTACAGTATAAAAGATAATTTGATGCTAGGAACACAGCTTTTTGCTTTGTCCATCAGCCACTGTTTTTCTATTAACAATTCGAGAGCAGCAGGATTGCAAGGCTACAAACAGCCAGCAAATCAGATTTGTGGATAATAGTTAAAAGATAGTGACTAATTTTAAGCCTCCAGAAATTTTGGCAGCATTATAAAAGTGGTCATATCACAAACCTTTTGACTTTTTCTTCCTAAAAAACAAAGCTTCGGTAAATTTTTTCAAGAAGTTTTTAGTGGGAGCTGGGATGTTCAGTTCTGGAACCATTAAGCAGCTGCTTGGGTGGAGCACATCAGGTATAAAGCCCTGCACAAAAAAAAATCCCTTGATTAAAATGTTACATGTAAAATATTAGATTTAAAAAAACCAAAAGCAGAACCAAATACTCTAGCTTATGTTGAGCATTTAAATATATCATATTGAATGGCAGAGAAAAGATTGTAAAGGACCAAGTGGCCTACTCTTGGTTCACATGCATACATGTTTAGTTTTCACCCCCACCCCCAAAGATACTGAAGTAACCAAAGATCCTATTCTTCAAAATAGCTCATTTCCAGTTGTTAATTTTACAATAGAACTCAAAATATTCACAAATAGGAGTAGCTCAAGTGACAATGGCAAGTGAATTTCTTTTGCAAATTAACACTTCACTTACGTTTGTGAAAAAAAGGTGCAGGAAGTACATCAAGTTTTTACCTTGAGGCAAATCCTCCCACCCCCCCCATCCCATATTACTAACAATATTAAAGTTATTATGCGTTAGAGATTGAGGATAAAAGTGTTGCAAAGCAACTATGGCAAGACAAACTCAAAAAACGCATATATAGAAAATGTAGTCTCTAAACAGTTTAAAATGAAGCATCTGGCGACAGTAGACTATTGATATTCAATACAGCTGGGTGTTCAAAATGGAAACAGGCAATTCCATTATTCCTCTCTGCCCACACCCCCCAAAACTCCACATACAATCATCCCAATCTGGGAAGCGTTCTTACTTTTGTGAAAAAGTCATGTTGCATAATTGCATCTAGTGTAGGTCTTTGTTCTGGGTTCTTCTTCAGGATGCTACTGACAAGATCCTTTGCAGCAACTGAAAAAGACGATGGCATGCTGTACTCAACTGCTCGAATGCATCTGTAGGTGTCCTTGAGGTCAGAGGTCTCAAACGGAGGCCGGCCAGACAACATGGTGTACCTATGAACAACAGAAAACTGTTCAATATCCCGGAATTCTGACAGCAATATCCTCCTCAGATTTAAAAGCTGCATGCAAAACTGACTGTAGGAGAAGCAAAGCATTTTACAATTACATTACAGATTGCAGTTGAGTTTTCATGACTTTGAAATTGAAACATCAAGTTTCTACAAGAGATTAAATTTAAGGGTTACGTAGGAACTTTGATTAGATACACAGATTTTCACAAACTGATCAGCAATTCCTCCAATTGATAGTCAGAGGTCTGAAAGAACAAGGATCAAGCTGTCAAGGTACAAGAGCACCAGTGGTTGCTTCACAAGGATAAGAGTGCTCTTTGCGTGATAAGGCACTGAGCAGCAAGGAGAGACTATTGGTGAATTTTGTGCACGTTGAGCCAAACTATGATGCACACTGTGGAATGCTCCAGCTTAACTTTACATAAATGACACACAGCTAAGTCAGCCAGGGCAGATCCTGGTTTGCTGAAGATCCTCACCACTAACTGCAGTTTAATGTCAGCATGGAGGCTTCATGCACAGGAAGTAGTGGTTTTGTCATCAGTACAAACAAACCCCATGCCTGCTCCAAATTGATCAACATCTGTTTAAAAATAGCCTTAATTATCTATAGTGGTTTGCCGCTTTTTCCATAACTTCTGATTGCTATACAAATAAAAAATAAACTTACATTACACAGCCTAAAGACCAGATGTCAGCCTCAGGACCATGACCTTGTTTGTTTAGTACTTCAGGTGCCAGATAGTTTGGAGTACCACAGACAGTCCTGAAAAAGAAGCAAGCCAGAATATTATAATAAGAACAAATAGTTGTCAAACTAGTTTAGGAGTAGCTCAAATCTAGCTTAAAATCAACCATCAAACCATAAAGCAAATCCAGTTAATGAAGTTTCTCCCTCTGCAGAACTTAGATTTTTCCTTGAGTTAAAAGGCCTAAAAGGGTGCTTGAAGTCCAGCATTAATTATTTCTAGATCAAAGAACTACCATATGCAAGATCAGTGGTCCAATTGCATGCACTAGTTTTACAGTTTACCAACTCCCTTGTACTACTGACCAATTGTAAATAGGCAATTCTTGCCACCATCTTTTTCCCCTGAAAGCCCCAAATCTGAATCATAATTCCATACAATGCTAAATGTTGCATTTATTTTAATAAATATTTTAATAGATTCCACACCTCTTCCTCTGGTCAACTGGTAGAAGCTTAGTTGCCAAGCCAAAGTCTCCAACTTTCACTTCCATGTTCTCGTTAACAAAGAAATTCCCTATTATAGAAGTAAAAAGAGAAAGAGGCTTGAAAAAAAAAAGTAAATCATGGTGAAATTACATTTTTTCTAAAACAGATTTAGTGCCCTCCAAGACCTGCCTCAGTTGAGGACAAAAATCTTTATATCTCCTCAGGAAAGGCAATTAGATACTGGTTTCTCTCTTGTTAATAGATGGCCAGGAGATACAGGAGGTATCTTGATCAATGGGCTGACGAGTGGCAGATGGAGTTTTAAATTGGATAAAATTAGGTTCATTTTGCCAAAATGTAATGCAAGAGCAGGACTTACACAATTGAAAAGTAGGGCCCTTGGTAGTGTTGGCAAACAGAGACCTAGGGTTTCAGGTCCCTAGTTCTTTAAAATTTGCATCACATGTAACAGTGTGGTTAAGGCAGCATTTAGCATGCTTGCCTTCATTGCTCAACCCATTGAGTGTAGGAGTTGAGATGTCATGTTGAGGTTGTACAGAATGTTGATGAGGCTGTTCTGGAGTTGTGCGCACAGTTCTGGTTGCTCTGCTATCAGAAGGGTATTATCAAGCTGGAGAGGGTTCAGAAAAGTTTTACCAGGTTTGAGTTATCAAGATAGGCTGGATCTTTTTTCACTGAGCATAGGATGCTGAGGGATGATCTTATTGATATCTATAAATATGAGGGGCATAAAGGTTGGGGTGTTCAAAACTAGGGGCATATTTAAGGGGAGAGGAAAAACATTTAAAGGACGAGGGGCAACTTCTACAAAAAAAAAGCAGAGTGGTTAGTGTATGTGGAATGACTTTCCAGAGGAAGATTCAATTACAATATTTAAAAAGACATTTGGATCAGGAATAAGGAATACATGAATAAGGAGGGGAGGGTTTGGAGGGATATGGGAAAAAACCACAGGCCAAACAGTCTAGCTTGGAAACATGATTGGCATGGAATAGTTGAACCAAAAGATCTGCCATACTGTATGACTCTAGTCACTGAAGAGGTGGGGGGGGGGGGGGGGGGGGGGGGGGGGGGGAGGGGGGCTGCGCATGCGGGTGCAGGAATTCCAGACGACATTTTTTTTTCAAGCAAAAACTCAGTCACGTTCCATTACCTCACCCAAAGGTGGTCATTAACTAGTCAAGACTGGTGCCCAGGTTCATGCAAAGTGACACTCCTCCAGAACAGAGATGGAGAAGTGAGACAGTTTAAACAGTACAATGTTCTTTTTAAAAAAAGGAGCGTAAAAGTTTCAGACGCACACCTAGTCAGACATCAGACCAATTTTGTACTCTAAGCTAGAAGCACTAAAGCTAACTGCACATACTTCGCTTCAGCCTTCAGAGAACTTGAACCGATCACTTTAGGTGCATTGTTTTTTTTAAATCTCCAATCAATCTGTAAATCACTTAGATTATACAAACCTAACTTGAGATCTCTATGAAGAATATCCCGAACATGGAGGTACTTGAGGCCCAAGATAATCTGTCTGAGGTAATACCGGACTTCTGGCTCTGTTAACGTTCTTCTTGTTTTCAAAATGTGCGCTAATGACTGAAAGGCAACAAAATAGCACTAAGAAAATTGCACAGAATCATCCCTTTGTTTTATACTAGTAGAAACCCAAAATACAATCAAGAAATCAAATACAAATAAAATGTTCAGCTGATAAGTGAACAATATAAAAATAGCAAAGTTGATTTAAAATAATTTAAGCGAATTACATTTTCAATGCGATTTCAAATTCTTGCCATGGGCAACTGAATTGGTGACAAAGTTTAAATTTAAAGGATTCAAAAGTTGGTGTACTTTATGCATAAAGAACTAGTCAACCTGCAGTAGTACAGACAGACTGTCAGCACAATTCTACCCACCTTGTGACTGCAGTGCTCTAGAAAGATATAAATATTTTCATCATCTTCAAAGTTATGGTAAAATTTCACTATGTGTTTATTGGACAGGGATTTATGGAGTTCAATTTCCTTTTCAATCTGTTAAGGAAAGTTTAAAAACAATTCATTCAGTCTTTTAGATATAAATCACAGCTCAAATGAAATGTTCCATGTTATATATGACTCATCCCAATGCCAGGCCACATAACCATATTAAGCTAAGATTCACTGGCCTCTCATGAGGTGGTACACCTCAAAACTCCTGATAGGCTTACAACAGAAGGCAACAGTTTTGTCATACAAACCTCCATGAAGTCTACAGCATATTCAGTCAATTTGATTCACTATTTGATATAGAAACAGCTGAAAGCACCTGAATATTGTAAAATGTTATGGGTCTTTGACATTAGAATCGTAGGACTCTACAGTGCAAAGAGCCGTTTGGCCTGTTGAGTTTGCACTAATCCTTCTGAAGGGCATCCCACTCTGGACTCAACCTTCACCCCTAGTCATGCTGCTCTAGTACAGCTAAATAAGAATACTGGAATCTACCCAGCCATGCTGAAAATTACCTATTCATGTTCTGAACACGAAAAAAAAGCAGGATAAATCTAACTCCATGAATTACTGCCCTATCAGTCTCTTGATCATTAGTAAATTGACTTTTTTGGGGGCAGGGGTGGTGTGGGGAGAAAGAAGCTGACATCAACAGCACTTGGCTATAACCTGCACACAGAGGTGCACACTTTGTGTTCTGCCAGGGCCACTCAGCTCCTGAACATATTACAGCCTCAGCTCAGACATGAGCAAAAGAACCAAATTCCAGGAGACAAGCAAAGGGTGACTACACATGTCCCAACTTCCCAAAGTCTACCCGTCATCCACAAAGCACACGTCAGTGTGACGAAACTCCTTACTTGCCTCGATGCAGCTCCAATGCTGGAAGAAGCTTGACACCATCCAAGACAAGGGAGCCCACTTGATTTTCAGTATGTGGTGCCATTCACTCCCTTCACCGCCGATGCACAGCAGTGTGCACTATCAACAAGACGCACGGCAGAAATTCTAAGGCTCCTCAGACAGTACTATCCAAACCTACAATTACAACCATTTCAAATACAGACAAGGGCAGCAAATGCATTGAAGCATCACCACCTGCAAGTTCCTCTCCACGCCATCCCACTGACCTCAAAATAAAACTGTTACTGTTTCAAGAGTCCCAGAGCTTTCCCTCCCAAAGCACTGTGGGGGCATCTACATCAAATGGACTGCCAATGAAGGACCTTCACAACCTGTACACTTCAAAAAGTCTTGCTCCTCAATTCAAAAGAAAAACAACCCTCACTTCTCCAATCAGGCAAAACACACTTTCTCTTCAAGTGGTTACAGCTTTACACCACAAAATGTACTCATGAGGGAATAACAAATTGGGGGAAAAAAAATTGACAGATGTGGACAAAGTAGTTCTTACCTTCTCTTTCTGATGAGGCTTTGACACTCTGGAATGTGGAATAACTTTAACGGCATATATTCTGTTACTGGAGAGATCAGTCATTTCATAGCATCTTGCAAATCCACCCTGATAATTAAAAAAAAAATCAAGCTAGTAAGATTGCAAATCCAATTCCAACCTTTCCACATACCAAGTTGACCAACCCTCAATGAAATGCACATGTGGATGAACAGCAGCATTCTCAGAACAATCTAATGCATAATTCTATACAAATCAAAACTGCTGAGCAGGCGGATGCATTAAAACAGTTACCATTATGACCATACTCCTCAAACTAGCTACTCTGGAAAAAACAAAAGCTTTGACAAAACTAATCCATCATACATACCGGACTGGATTACATAGACCTTCTACATCTACGTCAGTAAGCTTGCTCATTTCAGCATTTTTGACTTTTGAACTATCAATACCCAAAACTAAAAAAAGTGATATTCCTTAAAAAGGGCCTCATTCCTAACAGCAGCAATTATACAGAAGATATTTCTACAGACCCCTACACAACCAAGTTTCCCAGGATGGGACAGGGTTGGGGAGTGGTTTGCTGTTGTTTTGCTCTCCAATATTGTTGGAGAGGGCACACACCAGAGACAGAAAAAAATAAAGTGATTGTGCTTTACTAAACCCCATGATTCTGGTTCCCGAATTTAATACTGGTATGCACATTTAACAAAAATGAGACCACATCACTAAAGCAGCAGTTAAATTCAAACAAGTACTATTTCAGTATTGTGTCAAATTATATGCACTTTTTTCCAATTCAGCAAATGCAGAAAATGTAGCTTGGATCAGGCAATAGGCTCGTGCAACATGGAACAGTCAACAGCACTGTGCTAACATTTCAAGAGTCAGATGTGTTTTTTCTGACGACACTGACACCAAGACAGCCTACACAAACAGGTAGATTTGAGATCATTCAAGCAAATGATTTTTGATAAATCAGGGTACATCATTCCAAACCATGAAGCTGGTGCAATCTGCCACTTCTAAAAATGAAGAAGCAGTAATATTCAGACAGCCCAACAACCATTAGAGATAGCAGTTGACATTTCAGATATTATAGTCAATTAAGGAAGGATTTTAAAGAAAATGACTATTTTCAGGTTTCCCTCCAGACTGGAGTCTGATTTTCATTCCACTTCCTCCTCATTTGCAGGAATTTCATTTTGGCTCAGGTAGATTTACACAGGAATCTAAGAAAATAAGCCATTAGCCTCATAACACAACCAAATAAGACACTTGTGCCCAATCAGCTAACCCCCTCCCACTTTTTATCTTCCCTGGATTTCAAATAAAGCTATAACCAAAATCCTATTTACAGTAAGTTAGGAGCTATTTTAAAACCTAACTTATGAACATCCAATTCAAATGCACGACACAATAAAATTAGACTTCATTCAGATAATGCTCCCCAGGTGCATCTTGAAGAGTTTTAAACTGTTTCTAGAAAGGTGCTATACAAATGCACGTTGATATTAGTCAACCTCGATAACTTCAGGGTCAAATCCATGTAGTATGACAGCTTAGGGACGAGACAAACCATTAGGCAGCTTGGTTTTTTTTTGACCCAAGAGGCAGCCATGGCTAAACGTCTGATGCTACGCCAACAGGAATATTTTGAGCATTGCTCTTCATGCTATATATAAAAATGGAAGTGATGGAAGGGGGTTTCCGCTTCCAGTTACAGGAATTCAGCACACGTGGCAGTATAAGGTTGCTGGAAGACAGGGGATGCAACTTTTCCTCAGTTTGGGCGACAGATCTAACTTGTGTATTTCCACACGGACGTGACAAGATTCTCAACCACCACCCGGAAAAAAAGGTCCGTTCAGCCCCCCACCCCCCGAGATCATTCACATGAGGTCATGCGGAATCATCTGGATTCAGAACATTCGTCCAGCCAGAACCAATGAAACTTAGCCTCAGAGTCCGACGTTCAGAACCCGCCCTATAAAAATCCACTTAAGTCCATAGAGCCAGCGTGTGTCCATTGAGAAATTAAAACGTGGAACAGTAAAGATGAAACTGAATGCTGATAATTAGAAGCCTGCCTGTCAGTTGAAGCTGTATGCACTATACACCTGAAGACCCACACCTAGCTATTTAATAATGAGCTAATTCCTAAAGTGCAGTCAACTGAATGACCCGTTGGAAAGCTTCAGCTATAAAACCATGTATAACTTGTTCGAGGAAATCGACAGCTTTTTGAAAAAAAAAATCTATGCTCATCGTAGTTTTAGTCACGCAAGCCTTAAGAGTCCGTTATTTGCACAGTTATCATCTGAATTCAATTTTAGAAATAAAAAAATTAATACCCGCTTCCTTGAATGTACATTTAAGTGATTTAGCAAAGTGAAGGTTATTACAAGCGTTTTAAATAGAAATACTCTCATGAAACCTTTGTCCTACAGATAACCGTCATCTCATCTGTACTCAAAGCACGGAATTCAGAAAATTAAATAACAGCATCCAGAAGTGGGCGAGAACCGTTCACGAATCAAACAGAACCTGCGAACTTTCAGCCCTTGGGGCAAAATAAAAGGATATATGCGTATGGTTTAAAAAAAAGACACGACGCTGTACTGCAGCAGCACACCTCTAACCTGCTTTACTATGAAGCAAGAGGTTGTCTAATAGAGCTGTAGTGTACCTTTCCGAGCAGCCGCCCTCGGCAATAACATTTGCCGGTCTTGGGAGCGGTAACCATCCGGCACAAATCCGTTTTCTCCCGGGCAATTTTAGGGTGAAGGCAAACAGCATCCGAAGGTTTTTGAACGTCCGAAGTCATGGTTTAAAGGACCACAACTGACAGTAAGAGATAGATGTTTTAAAAGAAGCTAACCTCTCCCCCCCCCCCACCAGCTGCAGTAGCAGTGATACCTGCTACTGCTCAGCCTAAACAATGAGAGCAGACACGTGGCCAGGGAATCCCGGGCGCTACTTTATAGCGCATCTTCGCCGCCTGACGTCACAATGGTAGAATACCCCATTGGGGCGGGGCTTACACTGCAGACTGCGCTCTGATTGGTCCCTACGTCAGCGGTGGGTAGCGCCGCTCGCTGGTGAAGGTGGTGTATGGCAACCCCTGCCGTCTGTGGCTGAAATGGAACAACGTAAAGTTTCCTTGACCCGCCTCGGTCCAGAGGAAAAAAAAGGACCGGCGCTGGATCATTGACAAAGATGCCATGCCCGCGTCATGATATTCATCTTTTATTGTTAATAAGCCTTTCCAGTTTTCACTCCCTTCTCAGTGTCACGATTCTTCGGCATGTTTCAACCGGTTAAAAAACGAAACACACGGTTATTTTAGTTAAGAAGCAATTTATAACACCCTATTGAGTTTGTAGATATTTTCAATCAATTTGATCAGCAATGTTATGACACGTCTGGGGCAGATAGGACTTATAACCAAACTTTCTGACCGAGAGGTAGGTGCGTCACAAGAGCCCTTAAATTTAATTTTGGACACTGTTACAGGGGTTGCACCGACAGGTTAAATTGACTAATGCATTTTATTCGCTGTTCTCCGATGCGGGATGCGTTGATGTTCAGAGTTTTACATCAAGCGAGAAACAGCGGAGTCAGCGGGAAATCGGAGGAGTCAACCCGAAATGGAACCATGAAAGACAATATGTGGGACTTTTGAAAACAATGAGGCAGTGACAAAGCAGCTGGAAGTTCCAGAAAAGTTTAGTTGCTGACTGACCGACCACGTTGGAGCCCGTTGTTCGAGGGATGGGAAAATCCGTGCGTGAAATTCTGGAAATCATTTAGTCCGGGGGAGTGGGTCAGGGGAGAATTGGACCCAGAGCTGAGAACTGTGAAGTCACTGGGCAAATTAAGAAGTTTACCTTAGCAAATGAGGGTGATTGGAGGGGGGTGGGTGCTTCGTGTGGGAGGAATTCTTTAATTCCCTCAGGAAAGCCACTAAAGAAGGGGACGTTAGTAACAGCTTGAACACGTGTACTATTCCCAATCAGTTACAACTTTTGCAAGATTGATGCAGAAAAATCAGAGAGCGCGCACTGAAAAACATTAAAATAAAACGAAGAACTGCGGATGCCAAAGATCTGAAGTAAACACAAATAAAAACAGAAATTGCTGGAGAAACTCAGCGGGTCTGACAGCAACAGTGGATAGAAAGTAGCATCAACGTTTCGAGTCCAGTGACCCCTCTTCAGTTCTGAAGTTTCTCCAGCAATTTCTAAATTTGTCATAGAAAAACGTTGCTATAAGAGTACATTATTTAACTGTGATGTGGAGATGCTGGTGTTGGACTGGGATGGACAAAGTCAGAAGTCACACCACAACAGGTTATAGTCCAACGGGTTAATTTGAAATCACAAGCTTTGGGAGCGCTGCGAAGTCTTCGCCAGATGAAGGAGCAGCGCTTGGAAAGCTTGTGATTTCAAATAAACCTGTTGGACTATAAGAGATAGTGGGAACTGCAGATGCTGGAGAATCTGAGATAACAAGGTATAGAGCTGGATGAACACAGCAGGCCAAGCAGCATCAGAGGAGCAGGAAGGCTGACGTTTCGGGCCTGGGCCC